GCTTGGAAAAGATTGTCAGATGCAAGCAAGAATTGGTATTGGTGATACTGACTGAATGAGAACAGAGCTTGCATCCATAAGGCATCTGGTTGATATTTATGGTTATTTACCGTGGTGACTGTCCCATTGAGTGGAAAATTGACCTAAATGGAGAAAAATATGGGAAAAGGTATGACAGGCCAGCGGAAAAAGTACGAACAAGTTCGCTACAATTCCGTGGAAACTAGAAATGAAGGACTTGGTTTGGCCAATCAAAGTTATTTCCAGGATCCATCGAGTTCTATTAACACTAACGCGAGGCCACCTGATTTTAATATACCAGCTGGAACTAGACCTGTGCTGAACTATTCCATGCAGACTGGTGAAGAATTTGCTCTTGAATTTATTCGGGAAAAGGGTGAATCCACGGCAGCACTTCATTCCAAATACTCCTAGTGAGCCAAATAGTACAACTTCTTATACGGACCTAAAGGGCATATTGGACATCTCTCAGACAGGTTCTGAAAGTGGATCAGATATGTCCATGGTTGTCTCTGGAGACAATAATCGTGTACAAGATCATGAAAGGAAAGGATCTTCAGTGAATGAAGAAAAAGCTGATGATGAGTCTGTGCAATCAGTAACACGAACCTTATCAAGAAATGATAATAGTCTTGGAGCTCTTAGGTACACCTCTATGGGAGCTGCTGGTGGGTCATCAACAAAGTTGAAGTTCCTCTGCAGTTTTGGTGGTAGAATTTTGCCCCGTCCCAGTGATGGAAAGCTCAGGTATGTTGGAGGTGAAACACGTATTATCCGGATAAGCAAGGATATTTCCTTTCAGGAGCTAATGCAGAAAACATTGACAATATACAACCAGACTTGTATGATCAAATATCAGCTTCCTGGCGAGGATCTTGATGCGCTGGTGTCTGTCTCTTGTGACGAGGACCTACAAAATATGATGGAGGAATTTGATCTACTTGAAGATGCTAGATCACAGAAACTCAGGTTGTTTCTCTTCTCTAACAATGATCTGGATGATTCTCAACTCGGCCTGGGGAGTGTGGAGGGTGATTCTGAGATTCAATACGTAGTTGCGGTTAATGGCATGGACGTAGGATCAACAAGGAACTCAATTAACATGGCTAGCATTTCAGGGAACAATTTAGATGAGCTATTCAGTTTAAGTGGTGAAAGGGAGACTGTTCGACATCCAATTGACACACCTGGGGCTGTTTGTTGCACTTCCAACAGTTGGTATGCCTTCCACAAATCAAATTTCTCAAACAGTGGTGCCAAGTTCATCATATGATTTGGAATCCAATCCACCAGGTTACCAGGGTCAGATGGTGCATCCTGGAGATGCTGAATGGTATCCATCATCCACTAGCCACCCTGTTGGGAGCTTCCACGATATAAATGGCAAAAGTACTATTTTGACATCTGTATCAAACTATGATTATAGTTTTCACCCGTCCACTAGTGCACCAGTTGTAGAAAATGTAGTCCCCAAGCCTCTCCATGGTCATATGACTCGGCAGGGAGACCTGGATGAAGAGCAAAGACACAGTGGCCTGCATGTGCAGGATCCCGGAGTATCAGTGATGGAGGTGAAACTTAAGAGGGACAGCTCAATCCACAAAAAGAATGATTTTAGCAAAGATCAGTCTATAGAAAAGGAAGTTCTAGTGAAGGAGGGAAAGATGAAGAGAGATTTATCAATTCCAAAAATGAATGAATCTGAGAAATTCAAGTCATTAGAAAATGAGTACATTGTTTCTGTTGCCAGTTCTGCTGTAGACATGGAAGCTCCTTTCTTGCCAACTAAATTGAGTGTAAAGAACCAGGAACCTGTGAAGCATTCAATGCCTCCTGAATCTTTGAAGGAAGAAAAATTGAATAAAATAAATGAAGATGACCATATTTATGCATCTGGTGATGCATCTGCTGCGGGATACGGCGACTCTGACGCTTATCCCGAGGACTCTGGCAATCCCGAACCACCAATGCTTCCTCAGCGGTTTTTTCGTTCTGAACGAATTCCTAGGGAGCAAGCCGGCCTTAACCGCCTGTCTAAATCTGATGATTCTTCTGGTTCCCAGTTCTTGATTAGTCATGCACATTCTGATGGTTCACAGCAAATCACAGAAGCAGTTGATAAGTTGCGTGATTTGAATGTCGCTGCCCAGACAGACCGGTTTATTTCTTCTGCTAAACCTGTGTCTACAAATCTACAAACCGTTGAAGATGGGCTAGGACAATTTCAGAAGTCTAAAGAGATAGCTGGTAAGATCAATGCGAACACCAATATTGATGATGGGGGTCTTGAGGCAAAGTTTCCGAAATCTGAGCCAAAGCCTGCACTACGTACTGTTGTGGATGACCATGATATGGTGCAGGTTGGGAGTACTTACAAAGATAAAGAAACATCGAGGTCAAATCTTCCTGCTACAAGCCGAGTACTTTCTGGTAAACATGAAGATTCTGCTTCTAGGCCAAAAGAGATTCATTGGGATGAGAAATCTACAGCTGTTTCTCAGGGGAAGCCATCTGTTGGTGTTGGCTCTCCAGAGCATGGAGACATCCTTATTGATATCAATGACCGTTTTCCGCATGATTTCCTTTCTGACATCTTTTCCAAAGCTAGAATTTTGGATGGGTCTGCTGGAATTAGTCCACTGCACAGTGATGGAACTGGCTTGAGCTTGAACATGGAGAATCATGAACCTAACCATTGGTCATTCTTTCAAAAGTTGGCCCAGGATTCTATGAGAAAAGATGTCTCCCTTATGGATCAGGATCATCTTGGTTTCTCACCTCCTATAACAAATATCAAAGAAGGGGCTCCTGTGGATTATAGTTTTCCACCTTACAAGGCAGATGGAGTTGCCCTGGATCATATGGACTCCCGTGTTAGTTTTGATTCCAGCACTCAGCAGCCGTCACTTGGTGTTGTTGAACCTAACACCATGGATCTGCATTCAGATTACAATCCTTCTCAGACTTATGACAATCAAAGTGCACAGTTTGATGGTCTGGTGAACCCAAGGAGACCTGAATCTGGTTACGAGGTACTTACTCGATAGTGCATACTCAACACTTTTACTTGCCTTCACCATGTTTTCTGATTTTTGTTGTCTCTCAAAGGATGGGAAGCTAGAAGCTGAGATTGGTCAACCTCTTGTCGATCTTTCTCTGCGAGATTTTGATCCTAGTAGCTTGCAGGTATTGTGATGTTTAATACAGCAGTGAATGTCTTAAATATGTATTTGTAACACATGAGAAAAAAGTTTGGGTAGTTTATCATCTAAAATTTTGTGTAATTTTTGCCCTTATCAGAAATCTGAAGCACTGTTTAAATATATTATTTGCATATTTATTGCATTTGGAAGCATCCAAGTGGGTGTAAATCAGAGAGTCATTTTTTTGTTATGGGCGTTAGAAATCCTTTTGCAGAAGCTAAGTGGCGAGTAAGATATGAAAAAAATTCTAGTTGAAGCACAGATTTCGCTTACTCCTCAAACGACTACCATAACCATCTCCAACACTTTTGCATGGCTAACTAATCTATCAATAGCTCCACCACATCAATGGCAAACCGCAATGGTTTCCACTGCCACCACTAACAGTTGAGCATTGTTGAAACATCATTCCCTCATTCAAGATTTAGTGGTTACGTAGATAACTGGCCTACTTACTATGATTTTGGTATTTTTGGTTCAACATCTGCATTTATGATGTGAATTGTGAAGTTCTGAAAAAGACATGTCAAGAATAAGAATCAGTAAGGTAACTGTCCGCACGGCTGATTACGTAGATAACAGATTGCATTGTTATAGTTTTTTCATATTATCTCCGTATAAAAGTATTTCCACAGTGGGTGAACAACCATGTTCAAAAATCAATTGAGTCAGAATGAGATATCAGAATGAGGATATCGATGAGTGAATACTAAGACAGAACAAAGAACGAATGCACTCTCAGAAATCATGAATTGCATCTTGGCAGATACAATACAGAGTATATTGTGCAGGATGTTTGGGCAGTTGTCATCATCCAATCAATGCAACATGCATATAGAAGTCATGTGATTCAAGTGAGTGTGTCAAAAGTATAAGAGGAAGATCAAGACAAATCTAAGTCGAGACTGTGAGGACACAATTGACTTGGATTGAATTAGAATATGGTGGTACCTACAATTGATTAGAGAAGAAGGGTCTGCCACCATGAAGAATGTATGTATACTGTATGCATTTATTGTGTGCGTCTTTAGGGTGAGATTGATGCTTTCTAATTCTTTGTATTTTTTAGGCTTGAAGGCACTTCTTTCATTTTACCTGCTTTGGATAAGACGTGCGCCCAACACCCCCGATTTCCCTTCAAAATGAAGCATTCTGTTTTTTGTCTATCTTTTTCAAATTTTCCTTAGCATTATTTTCATCGTAAGCCTGCAAGAGATCCCAAATAATGATGCTTCATAAGTTATGTTTCATATTTGTGCAATGTGGAGATGCACTATCCTATACTGTAAATCTCAATGTTACTTGGATTGTGGGTTGTTATGGTACGTGGTATGGTGCCTTTTTTGATACATGGTGCGAGGAGGGTATGTTTTGTTGGTACGTCGCTTTGTGTCGTGGTTTGTTTTGTAGCTCTTATCCGTAGCACTCTCCTTGCTAAATGATGTTATGTATAATTATACATCCATATCAAGGATAAAAATTTCATTTCAAAATGTGTGAAATGTTTCGGTTTTCAAGGGGACCGAAACGAATCAGTGATAGAAAGACTATGATTTTGATTTTGAAAAAATCTTTCCTTCCAAGGCTAGTTCTTCAAGTTTTGGAGTTCAATTGTATTAATGGATCCTCCTGGAAAGACCTACACCTACTACCCTTTGTTGTTTCTAATTCCTCAGCAGTTGTTACCATAAAAGCATGACTGGTATTTTTGGTTGTCTAGTAAAACTTGTCTTTTAGCTTGGGAGACATGCTTCAATTACACAATACATCATATCTACTCATCCACTTAGCCCATTATGTGGAAATTCTATGATTAATGTCTACAATCTCAGACTGTCTATGGATAGTTGACCCTAAATATCAAATTTGTTCACGTTGTATCTCTTAATCCTTGATCTTCATAACAAGTGCTCAAAATATTCAATGTTTGTTTTGAGTAATCATGCACGTTTGAGTGATTGATATATGAAAGAAAAAGCAAACCAACTGCAGTTACTTGTAGCTGAGTCATATCAAGCTCTGGTGGTTAAATGATAATAGACAAGCAAAGCTCAATCTTGTGCTGAAGAATGCATGAAAAGAAAAACTCATCTCCACACTTGCATGTTAACAAATATTTGGCACGACACAGTAGATTGTTTCAGTCATTTATTGTTGATTATCTGTTCTGGTTGCTTTTCCAGATCATCAAGAATGAAGATCTTGAAGAGTTAAGGGAATTGGGTTCTGGAACATTTGGGACTGTTTACCATGGAAAATGGAGGGGAACAGATGTCGCCATCAAGCGAATAAAGAAGAGCTGTTTCACTGGTCGCTCGTCAGAGCAAGAGAGACTGGTAAGCTTTGTTGTGTATCATGTTATCAGGTCATCTCTTTGTAACTCTCAAGGTGATCGATTGCACAATCATTATAGGAACTTGCTTTGCAATGTTGCTAGTCAAACCTTGGGTTATTTTTTGACATTTAAATCTCTACTACCATGGAATTGACAGAAACTAGCAGATGATGATGTATATAGGTTCTCAATCCTAGATATTTAGGCATGAGATGAGTCACTTGTGGGTTCCTTTTTCTTTACTCCCCCTTTTCCTCCTCTTTGAATGATGACTTCTGATTCCATAGTGAATAACTACTTATAAATTTTGCAGACTGTGGAGTTTTGGCATGAAGCTGACATTCTTTCAAAGCTTCACCATCCCAATGTGGTGGCATTTTATGGTGTGGTGCAGGATGGACCAGGTGGAACGCTTGCCACGGTCACAGAGTACATGGTGAACGGTTCTCTTAGACATGTTTTGCTTAGCAAGGACAGGTAATATATATTTGTTTTTCTCCTTGCAATACTGTTGCACTTGCACTTAAGTTGTATTAAGCACTCTGTCTTCTACCCTTCCTCCACTCAAAAGTGACGTTTCTGTCTAGGCATCTTGATCGTCGCAAGCGGCTCATAATTGCAATGGATGCAGCATTTGGAATGGAATATTTGCATTCAAAGAATATTGTGCATTTTGATTTGAAATGCGACAACCTGCTTGTGAACTTGAAAGATCCTTTACAACCTATTTGCAAGGTGATTGTTATCACATAATATATTTTTTTTATTTATCTCAATTATCTCATTCGGGTTGCGTTGCTAAATATTTTGGGGATGTATGGTGAATGCTGGTAAGACATAAGACTGTATTGTTTGTAGTATTTAGCGAGAAATGATTGGTGTCAAACTAATTTGAAAAGATAATGCCTTATTTTTGCAGGTGGGCGATTTTGGGTTGTCAAAAATCAAAAGAAATACGTTGGTTACTGGTGGTGTGAGGGGAACACTTCCATGGATGGCTCCGGAGTTATTAAATGGTAGCAGTAGTAAGGTTTCTGAAAAGGTAAGGTTTTTCATCTTTTGTTGCTATCTGTAGGAGGGAAAAGAAAAGTCAACCGTAGTAATTGGTGCTAATTTCTCTCACTATGCTAATTGCTTGCATGATCTGTGCCATGTGTTTTGAGTGACTATGTTCTCTATTGGTTACTCTGATTTATTCTGCAAAGAAAATTTTCTCTTTTCTTTTTGCTTCCATTTTTTCCGCCTCGCTGGGGGGAGGGGGTATGTTCCTCACTCTCCCTCTCTAAAAGAACCTTTGATGAGGATATATTATATTTTAGATGGCTATGGACTTTATTATAGCTCACTACAATGGGTTTAACCTCACTGTTTGACTTGTTATTTCACAATGTGAAATTTAGTAGTTTCTATCGTCTTCATTTCATATTTTTCCCTTCGCCAAATCTCTTTCACTTTGCCCTTCAAGGTATTGTTAATCTGTTTGTTTGCTTAAATATAGGCATCCTATTGCTCTAAAGAAGAAAGAAAGAGATTGTTTCTGGTCAGAAAAGAGAAAGAGATTGGGTTTTCTCTAAGAAAGGAAAAAAATTGAAATGAGGAAGACATTCCTTGCAAGTATTCGTGACAATATTTTTTTGCACAGGTTGATGTGTTCTCCTTTGGCATTGTCCTCTGGGAAATTCTTACTGGTGAGGAGCCTTACGCGAATATGCATTATGGAGCAATCATAGGTGTGTTTACTCACTTTCCTACCCTCCTCACAGTCATTTCATCTTCTATTTCTTACTCCCTAGGAGCTGTTTTTGACTTACTTTGACAGTCAAACTGGTTGAGTCCATTGTTGCACTTTTTTGTTTACAACTTTAGCATTCAGTGACTAGTTTGTTCTTAAAACTGAAGCAAATACAAAACTGACACCTTTCAAGAATGGGTATAGGGGATTCTGTTAGGTTGAATCTTCTTCTTTGTGTTTGGTGATGGAATCTTACTAAACTATGTTTGATGTGTTTTAAGATCCATCTCTGGACAAATTTTTATATGGCTCCTTGGGATGTTTCAGTGGTAATAGGATTAGTGACGATTGTACCTTGTATTTGAAGGTCCTTTGATGGGGTTGAAACCTATGGTGAGTTATGGTGTATATCATCAAAGGACTAGAGAAGCTATAATACTTCATGACTTCATTTTTTCCCCACAAGACAATGCCAATAGCTAACAATTAACAGTTTGTTAGCGTCGCATGGTTAGAGAAAGGACTTTTAGTTTGATTTGATTGTTTATCCCAAGAAAATAATTTATTTTGAAGAGAAGAGTTGAAAAGTTGCCAAAAAAGATGAAAACTGGAAGTATACAATGGACAAATCCGTGGATGACAAAATAACTGTCTAAATCGCATCCTGTTTCCATCTATTACACTCTTCCTTGCAGGATGTGTAACGGGAACAGTATTATTATGATGTTGTACTTGGTTGTTAATTATTCAGTACTAGTTAAGAGTTAAAGTTAAGGGTCCATTAAAAGAGCAAAGCCATACAAATATGGTAGATTTTGAAAAGGGCACAACAAAAATAAGGAATTATAGTCATTGCTGCCATTAAAATAACTTTTTTTTTCTTCTATAATTTACACATGCGCTATTAATCCTTGTCTTGTGAAGGTTTTGCCTTCTTGAGATCAATGGTTCAAGTCCCTCTTCCCCCTTTTTAAAAAAAATTGATAGAGTATAATAATGGGGAGAGAGGATTCATGTAGACAACCCCAAAAATATTGGGATAAGGCTTTGCTCAGTTGAGAATTTACCCACACATTGAATGTACGTTGAATATTTTTATTATCAGTCATTGAGATAGACTTCTGTGATATCCATAAACTTCTATTTCTTTTATGTATTTGGTTAGTCTAAACTGCATATTTCTGGCTATTCTGCTTTATGAAAAATAATGAAAAAGGCAAAGAAATTTAGATTGTTAAAAAATCTCTCGTAGGAGTTTTCTCAAGGGATTTGCATAGTGGAGCAAGGTTATGGGATGATTATATTAGCCATGCCCAAAGCTCGATGGGTTGCTTATGGGAATTTTTGATGGGGCTTTTTGATTGTGTTAAATGATAGAAACTGAGTTGTAAATTTGAGATGAAATATTTTACTACATTCACTTAATGATATTGTGCTTTGAACTTATATAACTTGTTTCGTATGTATTTGAATCATTTTTATACTCCCACTCCCCCCCTTCTCTCTCTCTCTCTCTCTCACATACATGGATGTGCACGCATGCATGCACACAGATTGTATAATAGAGAGTTGGAAACTAAAAATCCAATTTAAATTAATCTTAAGGTTTGTGCCCCGTCTCACTTTGCTAAAAGCCTAAAATGCCTAGCTTGTAAGGTTTTGCTTGTTCATGTTATTTGATTATGTCTCACCCTACTGGCAGGGGGTATAGTGAACAATACATTGAGACCACCTGTCCCAAACTTCTGTGACCCTGACTGGAAATTGCTAATGGAGCAGTGTTGGGCCCCAGATCCTGTGGTCCGCCCGTCATTCGCTGAAATTGCTGGACGGCTACGTGTGTTGTCTACTGCAGGCCCACCTAGACCACATGGCTATCCGGCACAGAACCAGGGATCCAAGTGATGCTGTTGCATGTTCCTGTTTACAACCCTTCCAAATTTGTTATGATTGGATATAACAAGTTGTAAAGGTACTTGCACTATGAGTGGGGAGAAGGAGCTCCCATTTGAATGTGACATTGTTGTATTCGCCTACTTTTTATTGGATTAAGTATACAAGTGGGGTGAATGAGCTCGCACCGAGAGTGTGAAATTGTGGTGTTCCCGTGCTTATTATTGGCTAAGTGTATAATGTTTTATGCAAGAGTTGGAAGAGTGACATCTATTTATGTGAACCTATTGTTTGTATCATAAAATGACTTTGTGCTATTGTAATGTAGTGGAGTTTTTCTGTCAGAATTTGCAGTTGACATCCAATTTTAAAGCTGGAATTTTTTGATGTTTTTGATCGAGTTCTGTTTGAGAGATGCTGAGGTTGATTCACTTGTTGCTCAACTGTCTGATACAATTGTTTGGACTGGGGGCTTTTGCAATCATCCTAGAGGTAACAAGCTTGAAGGTATGCTGTGGTCCTTTATCTCGGTAATCTCTCTCTCTCTCTCTCTCTGTCTCTCTCACACACACACACACTTAAAAAAGGTAATCCAATGAACGAGGTTCTCACGATTGCAGATTGCAGGGTCTGAGGATTGCAGATTGCGGGGTCTATAAGAGGCAAATGTATAAAGATTTATATCTGTGCGCTAAGAAATTATTTTTGTGAGTGGAACGTATAACCCCTATATCACAACAATGAAGCTATCTTAGCTAATTTCACTTCTCTTGTCTCTCTATTGGTAATATCATTCTTAAGTACCATTCATAGGACATGGTGCAAGGGAATTGTCCTCGGTGACGTCTGATGTGTCTAACCTATTACTATACCATAGCACTATGACAGGCGAAAAAAATTGATATTGTAATGAAAATTATTATTTTTATAAATTTTGTTATATGAAAGTTATAACTAATTAGATATATTCTTGATTGATCACGAAAGGTTGTGTTCAATCATGAATAACTCCAATTAATTACAATTTCACCTTCAAAAGTTATGACTTACTTGAACGATCTTTAACATTTTAAGTTTGATTATACCTTTTGAATTTGTAATTTGCACCTAAAAAAATTAAAAATTGTAACTTAACCTCAATCTCTTTCTGTACTTTTGTGTGTAGCCAATTATTTGTTGATTATTCATGCACATTTAACAACTTTTAAAAGTGGATTTAATAAAAAATAGATTTTTGCCTAACTAGATGAAGAGATAGTAGAACATGTAAGGACTATAAAGTCATTCCAGGCAAGAGCTTAACCATACAATATAGGATAATGTTACTAAATATATATTATTAACAACAATATAAGAGAGTAGAAAGAAATTAAAAATCCAAGAAATAAATGGTGGAATTTGAAAGTTGAAAAGTTAGATTTGTGTAAGAATAAAATCTTAAAAGTAGTATGAAATTTAAAAGATGAAACAAATATAATATGAAATACGATGGTCGAACATATTAAAAAAATTGCTATTGAGATTTTTGGAGAATCAAGAGGTAATGGACATTACTAAGATAAATTTGGTGGTAAAATAATGAGGTCTAACTTAGGGTACAAGCAAAAAGAGTCTTATAAAATATGACAAAAAAACTAAAAATGAGGAGGACTTTAAAAATTCCAGTTTGCAAATAAAAAAGTTAAAAACAAGGTAAGGAATGTTAAGTACAAAATATATGATGATTTTTACTCTAAAATAGGCACAAAGGATGGAGAAAATATGTATATAAACTTGTTAAATTAAGAAAAAGAAAAACTAGAGTGTCAATCAGACTCTAGTGTTTTGCTACAAAACACATAGATAAATTAGAGAAAACACATTTTTTTTCATAGGGTTAAGATGTTGGAGGTAAAAAAGACAATAAAGAAAATGAATATAACAAAAGATTTCGAACCTGATGGTATACCTATTTAGATTTGGAAGTGTTTAGGGGATGTCGAGGTATCAAGAATAACTAAATTATTTAATATAAATTCTAATGGACAAGAAAATTCTCGATGCGTGGAGGAAGAGTATTTTAGTACTTATATATAAAAATAAGGAAGACATACAAAGTTGCACAAACTATTGATGTATAAAACTAATGAGTCATTAGTCATACAATGAAGTTTTGTGAGAGAGTGATCGAGCAAACATTGATGTTTGAAACAATGGTTTCTGAGAATGAGTTTGGATTTTTGTTTTAGAGATAAACAATGAAAGTTATATACTTATTTGAAGACTAATGGAGAGGTATAGAGAAAAAAATAAAGACCATTATATGGTTTTTATAGACTTTATAAGATACTTATAATTGAGTTCTAGAGAAGATATATAAAAGAGTTTATAGAGTTATGTCGTGGAGGGTTGTAAAGAAGAGAAACATTATTGTTAGGTATGTTGATGTGATTTGAGTATATGTATGAAGATGTAGTGAGTTTAATGAGAACAATGATAGGAGAAACTAATGAATTTCCAATAACTTTAGGCTTACATCAGAGTTTTGCTTTGAGTTCATATCTTTTTGTGTTGATTATGGATGAATGGATTAGACACATTCATAATGAACTTTCATGGTGTATGTTATTTGCGGATAATATTGTATTAGTTGATAAAAAAAAATAAGAAATTAATAATAAACTGTAAATATGAGGAAAACTCTAAAAATCAAAGGTATTTAAGATAAACACGACTAAAATTGAATAAATGGAATGTAAATTTAGTAAAAAGAGAAATCGCAACTAGAAAGTAGTAAAATTGAAGATCAAGAGATAATAAAGATTGAATACTATAAATATTTTGGGTCTAGTATTTGTAGTGAGTGTGAGATTGGTGATAACGTTACCAATAAAAAAATAGTGTACGACTGAAATGGGGGATTAGACCTAATGTTTTCATTTTATTATTGATTTTTATCTAAGTCAACTTTTATTCGATTGTTTGTTTCAATGATTATTTGTATATGAAAGAATAGGACAAATGATTCATTCAATGATTAGAATTTTTTCTTCTAAAATATGATAAATGATAATATCATTGCTCTAATGAAAAATCTCTAATGTTTGGCCATACTATTTGACACTAACTACACAAATTACATCGAAACTTATTTTTATCACTGTAAATTCAACATCTTTTAGAAAATATATAATCCACCTGAAAAACTTCAACGGGCATCTCAAACTCTAATAAACCCAACCACCCAAGTTAACATAATAACATTCTTATAGAGAATCAAGCATTGTACTACCATATTTAGCTAGGATCACGTTTCGTCTTTGACATTAATTCAACTTCTCAAAATTCTTGATTTCCCCCCAAATTCTAAAATTTGAAGTATTAATAACTACACCAAAAAAATGTACCAGCAAAGATAAATCCTGGTTAGGCAACAAAAAACGAAAAAGTTGTTTAAGGCCAACAAAAGTTTCAAGTACAAAAATTTCCTAGTTTTACTCATTCTAAGATTGCTTGGACATTTTTTATTTGAACAGGCTAATCCAAACCAATGTAGTTCTAATTTGTATAAAAAATAAACAATAGCACATATATTAAAGAATGCTGGAAAAGAGATTTAAAGAATGCTGGAAAAAAAAATCAGGCAATTCACCCGACAAGATGGTAAATCCTCTAGATCTCAACAACAACTGCAACAACAAAGAGACATGCCTACCTCCAAATCCTTATTCGGAAAGCACACACATGACTGTGTGATCCCAAAAAAAGTCTTCTTGCAGGAAATGAAAGTTGCCTCATAAGCACAAAGCGTTGGCTGCGATGATAAGCCAATAACTGACTACTTTTGATGATTGGATGCAACATGACGCGATAAAGAAGGCCCAAGAAAGATAGGATTACTGAGCAGTAAGAAGAAATTAGGAACAACAAATTTGAGATGAGGAAGAAGAGGGAGTAAAAGAAGCGTGAGGGCTGAAGTGAGTTAATAGAGAAAGAGTGAGTTAAGGAGGAAAACAAAAGGTCAAAGGCTGAGACTTTTGAGTGAATAATCAGTTAGGAAAAGGACCGTGGAATGGTTAACATTAGTGATATTATAGAATTGTTCATGGGTAACAAAGTTAAGCAAAAGTTTTTAGGTATAATGAAGGGATATTTAGAAGTAGTATCCTCAATTTCACTAATATTTTCTCAACTTCATCAATATTTCTTGAACTCTCTAAAGTCAAAGAAGGCTAAAAATTATCCAAATATGGTTGACTAATCTTTCACTACTTGACGAGTCTCTCTAGCCAAGTTACCCATGCTGATTAGAAAAGATCCCACCCAAGCATCTAATTATATCCAACTCTATCAATGTAATATATATGTATGCATGCATCATTATAAAATAATAATTAATACATAATAATTTCACAAAAAATGCATCTATGATATATGTCATGAATAATGTAATATTTAACCAACGAATTGAGGTTTTATATATTCTGAATTTGACCACTAATCGTGGCTTAATTAATAAGATAAATTACACCTAGACCCCTGAAGTTTGTCACTTAATCACCTAGATTTTCTCACATTTGACATATTGCACCTAGACCCCATGAAGTTTGTATGTGTGTAACACATAACCCCCACCACCATTCTCTGTTAGTATATGCCATTATAACTTCATGATATAATCATAATATATAAGGATAATTTCCCAATCTACCCTTTATATGGGGCCCACTAACACTTGGTTATCTATTTTTTTTTTTGATACTTAGCACTTGGTTACCTAACCAAACCAACTTCCCATCTATTACCATTGGAGCGTTGTCTATAAAGACTAATGCTGCCATATTAGAAGCCACTCTGCATATCAAAGAGATTCTATAAATACAAACTAAGCAAAACTCAGCTTATCAAAGAGATTTTATAAATACAAACTAAGCAATCTTTTCTACTTATCATCCAAATATTACTGAAAGTGTTCATAATACAAGCCTTGTAGACTGAACATAATTTACATTTACATCAACTAGACAGGCATC